GAATACAACCCCGCTCAGCGAGGCCTTGTACAAGCATATAATAATAGATGGTCTCTGCCCTCAATGAGATTACAATCAAAATGGACAAGATATCCCCAGAGGGTGGGGGAAGAGTTTGAAATGTACAAGTAGAGTGAATAATGTGATTGTGATAAATAGGAGTGCTGGCCAGCACACGGTGACTAAGAGGTTGAATTTGGGTAGTTAGCAAGGGTGTTGGTGGGGGTCCAAAAGAACCAATGGGGATACAGTGCTGAAATCTGAATTGTATTTAGATACCTTGACTGCTCTCTTTTGTGGGAGAATTCTAAGTTAAGGGCTGGAGGAATTCTAAGTTAAGATGCAGTAATCAGAATTACTATGCCTATAAGAAACATTGGACATGGGAGTGAACTGGGCCATGAAGTATGGATCATCATGGATAGTGAATAGAGGGGAAACATGTATTTAGTTGCGATCAAGATTTTTTAAAAATTTTGTTTGTTTGGTTAAACTTCTCTGTATGACTCTATGCTCTTCCCTCCCCTGTTCACTATTTAAGTTACAGGCTGAAGAATTATGGGTATGTCTGCACTACAGCATTATTTTGAAATATCTTATTTTGAAATAGTTAATTCAAAATAAGTTATTTTGAAATAACGTATCTACACACAAAATGCATTTCAAAATAGCATTTTGCTATTTTGAAATAGCACATCCACACTGAGTGGATGCTGAATCGCATTTAAGGCTGGCCGGAATCAGGTCCAGAAGTTACTTTGTGTGGCTGCTGCCTGAGACTATCTGAGGCCTGTGCTTAAAGGTCCCCCCTCCCCCGGACAGATAATTCTCAGGTTTCCCTGCTTACTTGTCTACCTCGATGAGGGACATCAAAGCATTTTGTCTCTGCATACTCTGGTTGTCCTCACTCGGGACACCACAGAACTCTGCAACATGGAGCCAGAGCTTCCCCTGGGTACTCTGGTGCATTTCTTCGATGTGTTGCCGCGAGCCTGGCTGCACTATCTGCAGGGTGCCATCCGAGGGGGTCCATGGGGGGGCTGTCAGTATCCAGGAGGCCCTGCGGGAGAGCTTCCACCCTGAGGAGCACTAAGAGCCTCCCTGGTCTGTCCCACTGAGGACTTGTGCCTCATTCCTCCCTCACATCCTTTCACTTACCCCTCCCTAACCCCCTTTCCTGATGTCAAATAAAATACACGTATTTTCATGAACACAAACTCTCTTTATTTAACAATACTGGGGGAAGGGGTGATGAAACTCTGGTGAGACTGGGGAAAGGAAGCGGGAGAGGGAAGAAGAGAGGTTGGGAGAGGTGAGGGGGAAACCTTGGAGGAGGGAGCTGGAAGGGGGAAGCAAGGGGAAGAGGGGGGAGTGGAGGGGAAGCTCAGGGCTCAGGGTTAGGGGTCTCACCAGACCAACTTGATTTTCATGCAAACCTGCTCCTGGGTTCGCATGTGGCCTTTGGTGGCCAGGCTGGCAGCTATCCTGCCATAGACGGTCACGTTCCTCCATCTAGTGCGGATATCATGGACATTGGGGGCATCCTCCCCAAACCTGAATAAGGTCCATGATCTCCACCCTGGACCAGGAGGGCTGGCTGCCAGTGGCTTGCTGGCTCATGTTTTGAGGCCACTGGGTCAGGGGTCATGACTGCTAGCTTTGTGCTGGCAAGCTTGGAGCTGGCACAGGCACTGTGGCCAGAGTCAACCCCTTTAAGGGCTCCGGTGAGGTGGGTGGGAGAGGGGTGTTCTTGGTTGAAATTGGAGTGGCCATCAAGGCACCCTGGGAAGGCTGGAGGCCCCCTATTTCGATATAAGTGCCTACACAGCACTTATTTTGAAATAGCTATTTCCAATTTGGCGTTATTCCTCGTGGAATGATGTTTACCAAATTCAAAATAAGCAGTCTGCTATTTCGAATTAATTTCGAAATAGCGATTTGGCTGTGTAGATGCTGGTAAAGTTATTTCTAAATAATGGCTGTTATTTCAAAGTAACTTTACTGTGTAGACACATCCTATGATTCTTTGTGGTTTTGAACTGTTTTTTCTTATTTGCTCTGTAACACCTAGCAGCCAAGTATGCTTTATCAAGTATATATTTTGTTTTGTTAATAAAATAATATTTTTTAAGGCGATGATTTGATCGTTGTGTCCTGGAAGGTAACAGAAAGTCTGTGTGTATCTACCTAGCCTTGGAGTTCAGCTATCAAAGATACAGTTTGTTTTTCTGTGCTTCTTCCTTCTTTTTTTCAAGCTCTCTTGGGGCAAAAGAGCTTGGGGTAGCCCTGGGGAAGGAATGTAAGTGTTCCTTCCTTTTTTTTCAGGGTTAAATCACTTGATAGTGGCAGCTACCCCCAAAAGTCGGTAAATCTGTGACTCTGGGGAGTTTTTGTAAGCAGAGCCTATACAGGCAAGGTATTTAAGGTCTCTTGCAGGCCCCCATCTTCTGTATTTGGAGTGCCAGAATGGGGAACAGCCCAGACAGTGATAAATGTCATGTTTGTGATCAAGTTTGGTTTAGTGAGAAGATCAATTACATGTAAATAAAAGTGAAGGCAAAGGGAATATAGAGAAAAGTAGGGTAAAGGAGACAGGGAAAAGGAAAAGAGGGAAATATTTATGCTTCATCTCCTGCCGTTCACACATTCCCTACTTTCTTTGCACCATTGTCCTTGCCTGAATAGGTTCTGGACTTGATCCTTCTTTACCTTCTGCCTTTCATAGTCATTTACGCCATCCAAATGAAAATAGAATAGCAGCATTTTACATCCACTTTCCACACAAGGTGCAAGGTGATGGGCATATCGGGCACCTTGTATCACGAGTTTGAATTGTAGAATATCATTTTAAAAATATATACATTTGCTCTTATAGGGAAGAGATTACATTGCAGTTTTGGCTTTTATTCTAGCTCAGTTATTTGTCTGAAGACAGAACAGTTAACTTGTGATATAATCAGCTATTTGAAATCTGCTATATTGGTTGATCAGAGCAAAAACAATTTGACTGATGCCCCACTAGAACAAAAATTCAAGTCAAAGTTACCATTCAAATAGACACTTGTACTTTGAAAATTGAGTTATTTATTTCAGCTATTGAAGCAATTATTTCAGCAATAGGAAAAATAAATACCACTTTCATGGCAAACTTAATACTGCACAATTTATTTATAGAGTCTCACTCCCACAATACTTATGCACAACAAAGAAAATTAGAAATGGTGTCAGAGCATGAAAGCAGGCAGATTTTAAAATATATAAATACAAATAGTACCTGATATACAATTCTCAGAATCCGTGTAATGGAATCAGTAATTTATAGTCTTATTTTATTCAGAAATAGATGCATAATATGGTAGTGGACGTATGACAACACTGAAGATGGCATCCTTCAATTCAAATATGTAACCAAGTTTCCATTTGTCTCTTTATGGTCTTTTTTTTTGTTCATATGCAAATCTACAGGTCTCATGATGCAGAATATCAGTCAATCAATTTTTATTTAGGAAGCACTTCCCATGCAAGATGCATCACATACCCCCAAAGAATGAAACATGGGGAATAAAATATCAGGGACAGATGAAGCAGTCAAAGAGCATTAGGTAGCATAAGAAAATACTGAAATGCTTTGCTGAGGAGAGGGGCTTCTAAGTTTGGTGTAAGCACATGGAGAGATGTGCCAGGCAAAACATGATGGGGCCGTGGCAATCTCAGACATATATTTGGGAAAGAATTCAAGAGACTGGTCATTTTCAGCAACAGAACATGAGCACAATCCTGTATGTCTGCGTGTGTAAAAAAAACATGAAGGAATGAAGATTGCAAGACTGATGGGGTTTGTCTACATATTATGGATATTGTGGCTTTGATGGAGGCTCAGGTTAGTTACCAGCATCCAAGCCTGACACACACACTCCTTGACTTGAGCTTGCCTGAGTGTCTACTGAAGCCACTATGTCCACATACTAGGCGCACTAGTTTGAACAAATCCAGAGCAACTCTGTTTACTCATGGCTGGAAGGCTCACTTCCAGCTGCCGTGTAGATGTACCCATACTACCCATTAGAGGTTATTTGATCCTATGAGGTACGGCACCCTCAACCCATTGGAAAGAAATTCCATCAATATGACAGAACATCTTTTGGGTTCTATACCTAGTTTAGCACTCATAGTGCAGATTCTCCCATTCAAACAAATTAAGCTTGACCGTATCTGTTCCTAGGGATTGGGCAAATTTATGATTATATAAAGACACACAATCCAGTGGTAGGAAGTTTCATCTAGATAAAATATTGTGCCTTTTTCCCAGTTCAACAGTAAGGGTGTGTCTAGACTACAGGGTTTTGTCGACAAAAGTCTACTGTAGTCTAGACGTACCCTTTGGATAAATGACCCTTATAGTAGTTTACTAAGGGATGAGATGGATTCACCATTACTTGAAATCTGTAAATCAAGATTAGATGTCTTTTTAACAGGTGTGAGATTCTCTTGTTACTGACACGAAGGATCTTGTACATGACTCTGGCTATGCAGAGGGACCTTAAAATTCATGTAAATATATGTGGAGCTGGCTGGAGGATGATAATTCTATTATGAAACTGAATCCTTTTGCAAAATGGATTGTGTCTAAACAAATATTGTCCGATCAAAAATGTCAGGCTTTCAATCTGTCTCTCTCTCTCTGGAAGTGTTCGGGCAGTCCACATGGGACCTCAGAAACCTTCCAGCAGCATTGTTTTTGTTGAAGTCAGTATATCTCCATAAAACATTTCTGCTTTGGTGAAGTGTTTTGCCAAAAAACACTTAACTGAAAATGTTCCAACTAGCTGTACATATAAACAGTGGAAAGAGCTTCTGTAAATGCAAATAAGGCACATACTATTTCTCAGCCAATGCAAATAAGGCACATGCTATTTCTCAGCCACACGTCACTGGCAATTATAAACAGTCCCTTCCTGCCTTAACATCTCTGAACTTTTCTCCTTTTTTCAGTTCTTATATTTTCAGTGCCTGAGGCTTGCTCTGAGTTTTGGGTCCCAAAGAAATTAAACATACAAAATCAGTTCTGAGACCTTGTATTCTTCTAAAGAATTTATCCTCTCCGACATAAGATGGACCTGAATCAACCATGAATAGCAGAGGTAAAAAAAGATTCTTGCCCTGAAGATGGAACTGTAAGTATATATGCGGCATATAACTGTAAGTATATACTCTTAGGAGTAGTTTGCAGTTTTTCTTTTCCTGGCAGAGTAGGACAAAGATAAAATTGTCTTGAATTTGAAGGCAGGCACAAAATTTCATAAAGTAACCGCTGAAAATAATAGCAGCTATGTGCCCTTAGTAATCTTATCTCACTGTTTTACAAAATGGATAATATCTCCCACTGGGTGATGATTCATAGTCAGGATTTCTCTGGACCTGCATAGGGACTCCAGGATGATGTCTCTTCCCTTCTGGCATTTGTTGAAATAACCCAGCGCCTTTAACTTGGATATAAAGGCATGAGAATACCAAGGTAAAAAAATAAAAACTATTTGCAGTGTCATTATAGCTGTGTTGGTCACAGATATATGAGAGAGAAAGGTGAGTGAGGTATTATCTACTGACCGGACTGAAATTTGCTTTTTTCAGTGTTAGCAACAGTGACCCTCAGATCATGTTTCTTCTGAGGGGAAAGCTATAGAACTTGTTAGGGAATTTGTACAAAGTTATTAAAAACTTCAAGTAGTATTGTAAAGTGTCACATCAGTCACCTGACACTCATTCTAATCAAAGGAACCATTACTGTTAAGATGATATCTAACGTGTCTAACTGATCTCTTGCAGAAATGGATTTGAACTTCATTCATCTTCCTTTTTCTGCACAGTTATAAATCTATTGGGCGTAAGTGTGGTGGAAGCTGCAGTGTAGACATTGCACTTGCATGTATATCATATTCACATATCCAGGGCTCGACAAATTATACAATCTACTCGCCCGTGGCAAGTAGATTGTAACCCGGAAGAGCCAGGTTCCAGCAATCTGTGCATGCGCAGATCACCGGACAGCGTGGCTGGTGAGTAGGGCTCGCCACGGTTCGGCGAGCCCTGCACATATCCATAGTACACTTTATTGGAAAGAAACTTGGGGAAAGAGAGGCCTTTTTCATGGGGATAAGGGAGAGTTTTCTTCTCAGGAAGAATAGGTGTCCATATACTCTTTTAGGGCATGCCTACACTACAGAGAAGATTGACTCTCCAGAGGTTGCTCTTCTAGCATTTGATTTAGCAGGTCTAGTGTAAATCCCTAAATCAAATGATGAGGGCAGCCCCCGCCAGCATCCAGTATTCTTCATTCTGTGAGGAGTAAGGGAAGCCAGCAACAGTATGTGCTCCCGTCGGCCTCACACAGCGTGGATGGGGATTTAAGGCACATCGACGCCAGCTATGCAATTAATGTAGCTGGGGTTGGGTATCATAGGTCAGTAGGGTAGCCTTTTTAGCCTACAAGGGTACGTCTACACAGCACCATTATTTTGAAATAACAAAATGCGCGTCTACACATAAGCAGTTATTTTGACATAATGTCAAAATAATGTCCAGCCAGAGGACTTATTACTCCGACTCCTGTAACCCTCATTTTACGAGGAGTAAGGGAAGTTGGAGGAAGAATGCTCTATTTCAAAATAAATGCTGTGTAGACATACCCAAATTCAAAATAAGCTATTTCAACATAAGGTACGCAATTAGTATAGCTCAAGCTGCATATCTTATTTTAAGTTTAGCCCTGCTGTCTAGACGTACCTTCACTGAAAAATCATGCCAGTTAAAAAATTCCACTTACACTCTGAATATGGCTGAGTTGATGATCCACTGAAATATTTACAAATGGTAAAACTTTCCAAGTGCACAAATTTCTATTTTCAAAACTAAGTTTAGGAGCCTATGTTTCATTGAATGTCTGTGGGACATAGGCTTTTCATTCACTTTGACAATTTTACTCCATGTGCCCAGTCCACCTCCGATTGAAATGAATGGAAAGATCTCCATCAATTTCAATAAGCGTCGGAACAGGGCTCCATGTTAGTTAGTTCACTTTCTCCTGTAAGCATGCTGTGTGTGTGTGTGTGTGTGTGTGTGTGTGTGTGTGTGTGTGTGTGTGTGTGCACGCACGTGCACATGCACATGCCTGTAAAGCATGTTCAAATCCAAAGGACACCTTAAACATGTGTTTGATGTTCAGCACTGAGAACCTGTCAGGCTTTCATCAGGAGGACTGGGGAGTGCTGAGATGGTATACTAGCTTACTGCCACCCACTGTGAGGTGATTAATGTGTGAACACTGAAATGCTAGTATTCATTCTGCCCTGAGCTTCTAGGTATGTTTCCCAGGATTTGTCAGTTCCACAAATGCAGGCAGTCGGGTTTTACTGATTTTCATTTCAGAAGGCAAATGTCAGCAGAACTTTGAATTAGCAACCCAGGGGGGAAGGGTTATACTGGAAAGAATCCTCACAACGCATCTGAACTGGATGGTGGTATATAATTGCCATGTGACTGTCATATTGATTTGCCAGAAAGAAGACTATTGTCTACATCACCAATGTACATTTAGCTGAAAATACCATAGGAGAGCTAAAGCCAAAGTCTTCTATCTTGTGACAGAACAAGAACTAGCTGCCTCATGCTCATCTGTACTTTAATCTGGTTGTGAATTAAACAAGAGGGATGAGTATATTGCTGTAGTCATCTATTTGTAATTTCAGTAGGAAAGAGTACAACACAGAGATTGTTCATTCAAGTTTTCAGTAACAGAGTGCTTTCAATGCTGCTTTGCTATTTCTCATTACCAAATCACCAACCTGCAAAATTCATATTTGACAGAATGTTTTCATTGCACAATTTGGAAAAGGGTATGCTTGGGAATGCACTGAAACTTGCATCAGCTCAAATGATGCAGTCCTTAAAGTGACTTGTTTATTCAGACATCTTGCAAAATATGGAAACTTGAAACTCAGCTGCATTTGTAGTTTTATATTCTCTTTTTACAATGTGTATTACTCCTTCTCTCTGGGGGTTCCTCCTAGGGAAGAAGAAGTGTTCTCTCTCCAAAGAAATAGGTTAGGAAGTCCAATAGTGTTTCATATATCTTGCTATGCCCATTAATTACACTAACTCAAACATATTTAAAGAAAAGTAGCATTTCTCCCTCATAATTGCTTTGTTGATACTAATGAAGAAGTAAGTTAATATGAAAAAGTTGTCATTGAAAATATGGATGAAGAAATTGAGAAATAAGTTAGTAGTAGCATACAATTATCTACTTGCAGGAAGAGCTGTGCTAGGCTTTACTTAAGCAGACATTGGCATACTGATTTGCCAGAAAAAAAGAAGCTTGTCCACATAATATAATATTTAGCTGAAAATATCACGAGTGATTTAATGCCAAAATCTTCTATCTTGTGACAGACCAAACAAGAATAAACCGTGCCATGCATTGTGTCCCTCATAATTGGAGAAGAGGGTTGGCTCTCTTTTTTGTTAATCTGCCTGAGCTAATATAGAATTGTGGATACTTCTTGTGCCTCTGCTCCATTCCCTAATTGGCACAGATGTTAGAACACTTTTCCTGATGCCTAATTTAACATTTCCCTTTTCTTGTTTTAGACCATTACTCCTCTTACTATTCTTAATTAACTGCCTTAAATATTTCTTCTGAAAGCATTTTCATGTTGGCCCTTATCATATCCTTTCTCTAAGTATTGTGTATGCATTGTTAAACTCCCAGTGTTGAGACATAATCAAAGACTCTTTGTCTCAGCACAGTTTCTCTGTATGAAAATAGCCTTATTATATCTCCAGTAATATGCACCTTCTATTATAAGAAATGTCCTAAGAGCCCACATGCAGCCCTCTGCTAATGCAATAGTAAGTTTGCAGATGGAAATATTAATAAAAACATGGGAAATTAAAACAAGATGAGCTCAGCTGCATAACACACATTGCATTTTCTGTCTCTGGTCCAACATATAATTCAGAAGTAGGACTCTCACCTGGCATGTAGGAGACCTCAATTCAAGGCCCTGATTCAATATCTGTCTTAACTAATAATTATTTATTAAAGCTTAAGTGAAAGCACAAGAAATGTGGAGCAGGGATCAGAATGGAACCTAAATCTTTTGCATTCTATTTCAATGTGTTAGCCATAGGACCATCTTTTCTGCCTTTCAAATATTGACAAAAGTATATTATAAAAAAGACATAACAACTCAGGCTTGTTAAAATTGCTGTTAGACTCTTTTTCAATTTCTGGTTCTTAATATTCAGCATTTTAAGAGTTATCCTTATTGTTATATTTACACCAGGATTAGCTAGTTCCATACGTTGAATGGATAAGGCAATTGGCTTGAGTCTGGCGCAACTGTCATTCACTGGAGTGAGTATAAATCTTATAATAACTATTAACTATTACCACAATGGGGTGACATAAGAGACTGCTTATCTTTAATTACATGTAAATTAAATTCCTTTTTCACTCCACCCCTACCCATAAATGTTATCCAGGAATGCTGTTCTTGACTCAGTTGTTTGATGTTACATGCCTTCTTCAAAGCAATAGCCCGTTGAATCCTAAATAGAAAAATGTAAACAGGGCAATTACCAGTTACTCCACTGGTCAATTGCTGCTCTTTCTTTTTAGTCTTCAAAAAACTGAGAAAGGACTCATTTCTTATTTTTTCTTTTCAGGAACATTTTCATGAAATCATAACAAATGAAAAGCAACTTGTTCTCTCAGTAGAGTCCAAGTAACATACAGTCTCAAATGGATTTTATCTTCACAATACACGTGAGGTATGGAAATATCAGTATTTTACAAATGGGAAACCAAGGCAAAGAGTGGATTGAATGATTTGGCCATGGTAATACAGTGGTCCTGAAGTTGAGATGGAATTTAAATGGTGGTTTACTGAGTGCTAGTCCTGCAGCGTCTTTACTAAACCATGCCTCCTCTTCTTCCCCACCCCATATTTTCACTGAAGAACATGCAGAGACTGAGAGTAAAAAGGAAAACTAGCATTAACTCTAGCAAAACTGAATAATTTGTCAGAAACTGTCATTTCAGGTGTTTCTTCTGCTATTTGTAATGCCCTTGCACTTACGTGGGGAAATTATTATAAAGAGGTCATGCATGCCAGTAACTGAAGCTTGGTTTGACTCTCATTAAGGCCAAAATAAGTGGGAAGAAGATGATCACCAGACATAATTAATGATGCTGCATTAAGCTATTACTTCAATGGTTAAATGTTACAGGCTAGCTCTAATTATAAAACATGTCATGCTTTTAGCCAATCATTTTTCTCTTGCTCTCTTTTTCTATTTTGCCTCCATACACATTATTCAAATGATCTGAATAAGTTCCTTCCCATCTTTGCTTCACAATACTGGAGAGACAAGGTAGTGAGGTAATACCTTTTCTTGGGCCAACTTATGTCATGGAAAGAAACTTTTGAGCTTACACAGAGCTCTGAAAAGAGCTCTGTGTAAGCTTGAAAACTTGTCTTTTTTCGCCAACTGAAGCACGTCCAATAAAAGATATTCCTTTGCCCATCTTGTTCTTCTAATATCCTGGGATGAACAAGGCTACAACAACACTTCAAACACAATGCTGGTCGTTTCAGTTTGTCTTTTATTCAGAGACATACCATAATACCAAGTGCAGTATAAATTTTATAATAAATATCTGATGAAGTCCAGGGTTATGCCCTGCACTTTTTCCCTGTCTCTAACATCTTTGATCCTCTGATCTTTTGTGTGTGCATTAGTGTTCTTGATCTTATGTTCTGCTGCTAGCTGAAGGTCAGTAGCGGCCTGAGCACTGGAGAAAGGGCTTGATCCAAAGCCCTCTGAAGCTAGTGGAAAATGCCTCATTGATTACGATGGGCTTTGGATCAGATCCAAAGTCAAAGGACAAATAATCAACTGAACTACGATGAGCCTTAGTGGTTTCTCCCCCTGTTTTGACAAAGGGCCTTGATGAGTTTTCACGTTCCCTTTAATTTGTGCTTAATAAACCTGGATGACAGGAAAATGCACAAAAGTGAGAAAAGTTCAATTTCGCTGAAATTTTTATTTTCTGTCTGCAAAAGCAAAATAAAATATTTCATCTTGGCTCAGCTTGACCTGAATGAAAATAACTTATGTTAATTAAATCCAAAAAACCCCTTTTGTTTTGAGCCAGTTCAACACTGAACTGCCTTTGCCACTCATACTGTGGTGGGTTAATGTCCTTATGCTCCCCTATGGACCGGGTTCCCTGGCTTCACTACATCTCCCATGATGCAATATGCTCTCCCCTCTGATCAAGTTTTGTGGTGCGTCATGAGTCACATCACAAGAGATTTATCATGAATGACATAGTTTGGCTGGGAAGCTCATCCCCAAGAAGAGAATAGGGGCACAAGGTGCCTGAACCACAACTCCTTTGTCATTGTTCCATTAGCAAAGAGAGAAGTGGAATGCAGGTTAAGCTGAACAAGTGGAACTTGTCCACATGGCAGAGTTGCTTCCAGCCTAATTCTACCTCTTCACTATTGGTGTCCTGGCAATAACTCCTCCTCCAGAGAACAGGGGCACTCTGATCCCAGTTTCACTGATCACAATACTACCAGGGCACTGGCACCACTGGCAGTTGCAGTTTAATGAACATCTGAAAGTAAGCTCACAATGTGACACGGTGGCCAAAAAAGCTTATAAAATCCTGAGATGCATAAAGAGAAGAAAAGCCCTTAAGGGTACTATTTATTGGGTATGCATATATAACCACCACCAGGCAGATTTGAACCTAGGACTTCTGGAGCTTAATATAGGAGGCTCTACAAAGCTTCAGCTATAACAGGAACAGGCTCTTAGCCTAGGCACCAGAGGTCTTTTGTTCTTATCTGTTGCTGGAAGTGGTCTAAATGCCACTATGTGGGACACTGAACCACACTAGGGCTTCGTCTACACTGTAGCCTTCTTCCGCAAAAGTTTATGCAAATGAAGCATAGAGTGGAATATCGCCATGCTTCATTTGCATAATTAATTAGCAGCTGCTTTTGCTCAAGAGGCTTTCGCGCAAAAAGGAGTTGTGTAGATGACTCCTTTTTGCGCAAAAAACCCCTCGTGCGCAAGAGCTGTTCTTCCTCATTTTTTGAGGAACATCCCAGGGAGAGGCATAAGGATCTTGCACAAGAAGGGGGTTTTGTGCAAAAAGGCAATGTCTACACTGCTTGTTTTTGTGCAAAAACCTCTTGCGCAAAAGTGAACTGCAAGAGATTATGCAAATGAAGCACAAGAAAATGCTAATCCGCGCTTCATTTGCATTGCCTCTTTCTGCAACACACACAGTGTAGCCGTAGCCTTTGTCTCAAAGACTCAAAAGAAGACACCATTTGATTCAGTTCCAGTCCAGATTGTAATGACTGAAAGTTGCTGCTACAAGGTGACTGTTCTGTGGCCAATATGAAATGTGTTGCTGGTTCCAGTCCATCATGTATCCACACCATGAGTAGAGAAAGCTCTCTCATCAACATGTTCATCAGCACCCTTGTGACATTCTGTCCCTATGGTGGGATGATTCTGTGCTAAGCCCTTTCCATGAAAACTCTGCGTTGATGCAGGGAGCAGCTCCCACAGGTACAGCAGTGAGATACTGTAGGGAGATGAGGAAGTAAGGAAGCTTTTTCAGCAACAGTATCTCTAGAGATCTGGAGATAGAATTGCAGTGTAAATGTGGCTGACTCCCAGTTACCTGGGTCTCAAATGAGGAGAAGATTGCTTTTGTTTTTGGCAGAACCTAACATTCTGGAGCCTGGGTATAAAGATCAGTTCAATGTGAATGCTGGATCGCCTTGCCCAACTATTGGAAGTGATTAGATTTGCAAAATTGGGCCAGAGATCTTACAAGAATTTTGATACACTTCATGCTTCCAGTTGACATAGATGTGCCATCAGAACAACCTTTCTCTAAGTACTCCCAGACTTCCGCTTCTGGACTGGATAGAAATGGGAAGCAGGAGCACATGGGTTTGAATTAAAAGTAGTAATAGTTAGTCACTTCTTTTTAAAAATACCAAAAAGGGCCCAGGTTTCATATTTGCACAAAGGGTTTAGGTTAGATTTTATCTGAGCCAATTCCCCTCTTCCTTCAAATACAATAGGAGTTTTTGCAGCTCAGAGAAGAACTTGGAAATCCTTTATAAAAAGAATGGACACCTTTCCCCACACTACTCTGTCTGTGGTATCTCATTAGCAGGCCACTAGGGCCATCTCCCTCCAGAGCTGGAGTGACAGGACATTCTCCTCTCCTCCAGGAGCCTTTTTTACACAGCCTAGCTGAGCCCTGATTGGCTGACTTTAGCCCACCTCTGGCTCCTGGGACAGTCCTCTCCCAGAGCTGATTTTAACCCTTTATATCCTGGAGCAGGGTGGCTGCCCTGCTACATACAATTACATACTATTTCAATGAAAGCAGTGTTGGGTCAGTGCTGAGCAGGTTAGATAATTCTACCTTGCATATCAGAATTATTACCGTAGGAAATACAGGGGAAGGAGTGTAGCTTGTGCCTTAGGTATCAGATTCAAAGAATGATTTAGGCACCCAAATCCCAGACTGAGGCCCTACTGGGATTCACAAAAGTCCCTATAGGTGCGTAAAGTCACTTGGCACCTACATTTTTGCAGTAAAAGTTTCACAGGTAGCTATGTTTCTCCCTGGAGTATGAACACGCTGCAGCTCCATGCCAGGAATCCGAATACGCAAGTCCTAGAACAATGCACAAACCCGGAGAAGATAAGCATGCCTCCACCTTAAACAGCTGCTAGCATGGCCACTGGATCAGGCTTGTTCAGATGAGCTTACACCAAATGGCAAGAACTATCTCATACCTTCTAGCCAAGCGGTTAGGGATTGTCACCTAGGAGACACTTGAATAAAGTGCCTCCTCCACTTCAGGAGGAAAAGCAATTTGAACTGGGTTCTGCTACTTCATATATGACTGTCCTAGCCATTGAGCTATGGGATGCTCAAAGGTGGGACTCTGTCTCACTTGTTGAAGCTCTTCCACTGTGCTTAAATATGAAAGAATCCCTGGCCCAAAGCAAGAAAGCGAGCAGGAGAATGACTGTCCCCTGATGGTGAAAGCAGCTCCAGGAGAGACCCAGGATCCAGACCTTCAGTGCTGATGACTTATTAAAATTATTTATCTCAGTGGAACAGCTTTAACAGAGAGAATAAGGGTGTGTCTACTCTGCACCAGGGGCTCGAAATAAGCTACACAAATTGCATACCTTATTCTGAGTTAATTTCAAAGTAGCTTATTTCAAAATTCGGCACTGTCTACACAGCGTCAAATTTCGAAATAGAGCACTATGCTGAAACATCCCTTACTCCTTGTGGAACAAGGTTTACAGGGACATCAGAATAGTGAGCCCATTATATTTTGAAATAATGGGCTTTTCCAAAAGACGCAGAATAGCTATTTTGGGATACTTCCGGTATCCCAAAATCATGCCATAATGTAGATGCAGCCTAAGGGAGCACCACATCAGAATATCCCATAGCACAACAATTAAGGCACTCGTGACAGATTCTCATTCAAATCCTGCTCCCCCTCAGATAGATAGGGGATTTGAACTAGAAGTCTGCCACATCCCAGATAACTACCTGGACCACTGGGTTAAAAGTTACAAGAAAAGTCTTCCTCATAGGCACTTAATGCCAAGAGAAGGTTTGCAGCTGAGAAACCCAAGCAGACTACTTACCACTCACCTTGGCATCTCCAAATGGCTATTTTAGGCAATGAACTGGTTTACATGCTGGCTTTTGTGTATCCCAGTCTGCACTGCAGTGCTTGGTCTCTCCCCCACTCATTGTATGGGGAGCCTAGATGCTGAGATCAAAGTTTGTGAATCCCAGTGATTTTCTAAGTGCCTAAGTTAGGCATGGTGATAGTGAGTATCACCATGACTAAATCGCTCTGTAAATCTAGCCCCAGGTGTCTTAGTATTTGCACAGTTTCTTCTTTTTCTTTTACTACTACTCCTATTATCGTCATCATCACCATCATCTAGGGATCAAAGAAATCCTGATATAATAACTTTTAATATTCATCCTGGCTTTTCTGTGTGTTCCCATCACTTCCTAACATATATAACAAGATGTGCACAGTAGCAACTCATGATTTCACAAATGGTAAAACAAGACTTTCAGCAGCATGGAAATTTAATTTATTATGAGAATCAGATTCTTACATCATAAATTTGCATTTGACAAGCTGAGGAGAATGGGGTTTAATTATTTCACCTCGATTTTAGCATGAATTGGTACAGTTCTACCTCTGCAGAACTCTTATCTCTAAATTCCTTCTAGCTCATAACAGTTTGAAAAAGTTGAGATTTGCTCAACCTTTTGTTAATCTCCCGCAAACAACTTAGCTAATTTAAAGTTAATATTGCTAGACTGCATAGCCCATGAACACAAATCATAAAGAGCAAAGAAGTCAGTCAACATCTCATTTTCAGCTAACACATTGGTTCAGATTCTCCGTTGGTGTGAATTGGTACAGGTCCACTGATGTATCTAATGAACGTAAACATATAAATAACAGTCAATATATGGTAGTATTTATGAGATAGGTTGTAAACTCATTTGGCAGGGATCATTCCTTTGTTCTGGGTGTTTAGAGCACCTAGTACAATGGTATCTTGGTCGTAGGCACTATCACAATGCAAATTAATAATCAGTGTATTAGATACACTTGGCCACAACATTACTTCTAAGATTCCAGAACGCTGAGTGGCGTAAAACTACGCACATTTAAAAACACCCTTCCAATGAGAGATTGTCATCTTCTCCCTTCCCGCAGTTAAATACTGCTAGTGTAAGGTCCAGGATAAGATATTCACCCTTCTCTATCACATCAAACATACGTTACTTGGTTTGATTTTCAAGTCCCTTCATAGCCTATACACACTTTATCTATTGTCCCTCATTCACGAGATAGCCAGATGTTTACCACAGTCTCAAGTTGGTCTATGATGACAGTCTCCATTATCCACTTGTCAAATTTTCAAACAAGTACCTTTTTATTTTCCCTCATTCTACCCCTACTGCTTGGGAGGAACTCCTTGTAAACAATCACAAAGCTGCCTCATTGTCCTCCTTCACATTCTTCCTTAAAATTTTTTTACAACACTACTCGCAAAACACTTGACAATGGCAAGGTGGCTCTTCTGCCAAGACCAGTGATCATCATGCTGACCATTATCTCATTGGTTCCCTATACATCCACCTATCAGTGTATATTCATCTCCCACCTCTTCTTATTCTTAAATTGTAAGCTCTTTGACACAAGAACCATCTTTTTTTTCTGAAAGGGGCATGTTAATTTCACAGGTCGTAATAGGGAAATCCGCGGGGGATTTAAATATCCCCCGCGGCATTTAAATAAAAATGTCCGCCACTTTTTTTCGGGCTTTTAGAAATGCCAGAAAAGAGCGTCTACACTGGCCCCGATCCTCCGGAAAAAAAGCCCTTTTCCGGAGGATCTTATTCCTACTTTGAAGTAGTCTTTCATGGACTTTGAAGTAGGAATAAGATCCTCCAGAAAAGGGCTTTTTTCCGGAGGATCGGGGCCAGTGTAGACGCTCTTTTCTGGCATTTCTAAAAGCCCGAAAAAAAGTGGCGGACATTTTTATTTAAATGCCGCGGGGGATATTTAAATCCCCCGTGGATTTCCCTATTACGACCTGTGAAATTAACATGCCCCTTTCAGAAAAGGGGCCAGTGTAGACGAGCCCTGATGGTTTTCAATCTCTTCATCCATTAGGGCTTTGCCACTCTGGAATAATACAACTGTAACCCACAGATGAGTGAGTAGGAAAGGGCCTATTTTGTGCCTCGTCCATCAAAGATGAGTTTGTTAGAGCCCTATCTTGAGAGCTTTAGTTAATGATTTTAGCGTTCAAGATCCCCAATTCAGTCCCCACTTATGTTGGCCAAGATGGTGCCTGTCACACGAGTACTGAGAAAAATCTCTATATCAACTTATCATGTATCCTCTTTCTCTGTATTTAAAACTACAGTTTTACAGATAATGTAATTTAAAACAGTATGTGTAATAATAGGGACGCTAGACTCAATATTCCGCCTACATCCTTGAATGCTATTAATCACTAGGTTCAGACCTGATATAAGTGGTTGTGTCTCTAGGGAATTTTTTCCCCAACAGAATATATTTATTTCTGGGATGTTCATTAGCACATTTCCCACAGCTGTACCTTTCCCCTCTTCTTTATTACTCATTGATTCTTCTAATTTTTAATAATAATGCATTCTTTCTAGTAGGAGCTATTTTGGTAATAATATCCACACACCAGCTGCTGTTTTATTTTCTTCTTGCTTTGTCAGGGTTTTTATTTGTGATTTAGTAACTTCTACAGTTTGCAGCTATATATTGCTTTAGCTAATGTTAAGGTCCCTTAAGAATTCCTTCTTTACAGTGGGATTGTTATTAATTCCACAAACAATCCCATTCTATTCAAAGAATCTTGTATTTCTCCAAACTTGCTAGTTTTACTTTTTCGTCTCTCTCACATATGGATCTATTACCCCAACTTGTCATTGCACATGAGTGAAAATTTGATGTCTTTCATGGACTATATTCTTTCTTGGAGTGCAATATTTATCCAATTTCTGCAAAGCCACAGCTAGATGATAACTTTGAACCTCATTTTCAAAGGTGAAAGAGTTCTAAATTTCCAATCTGGTTCCTCTCATTACACAGAGGGACAATGAAATCTTAACCCCCAATTCTTTGCTTCACTGAGCCCCCATTTACACAGCAGAGATACGAAGCTATCAATTAGGGAGCTGATTACACCTGATTTTTATTTTCAAGACATATCTGTACCACTCTGAGAGAAGCACGCTGGTCCAGTTGATAGAGTTCTCTGCTGACGATCATGAAACTTGGGTTTGCTTCTTTATTTCCTTTATTTTAATTCTTTGATTGTGCGTGCTTTAGATCATTGTTTCTCAACCAGTGATACGAGTACCCTTAGGGGTACTCAAGAGAAGTCCGGGGGATACAACAACACAACTGAAATTCGGTGAAAAGTGAATTTTTGTTTTAAGTTTTACAGCACTTTATTATTTTTTGACTTTTTACACCCAAATATTTTATTGCCTGCCCGGCTACGATATTAAGTTGTTTAAACAAATGTGTTGCAACGGTAGAAAATAAATTGTGTGTCTGAAAACTGTGTTTTTTTAAAGGAGTACTTTATAAAAAAAAGTTCAGAAACACTACTTTAGATCAAGAACTGGTTGTATGCCACTTAGCACAATGAGGCTCTGGTCTCAGTTGGGATATTTGGCTGCTACTGTAATACAAACAATAAGTGAGAAGAATTAGTAATGAACCAGTATCAATGTTGTGCTTTCATTATATATATCCAGAACTGTTGTGACGTTTTTGAGAGTGATCATAAGTATTGGAGGAGTTTTCCTTCTTCACCCAAGTGGCACGTGGAAATTACTGTTTCATCCTTTGGAAGGATTGAAGCTGGTGTTTTGTTTCTCATTAGTGTTAGATTACATTTATTTCAGAATCTGGAATTCCGCCATTCAATTACCCTAAATCTCTGTAAGTCTAGCTCTCCTAGCTGTGCCTGTGCCCAATACCTGCTGTTACACTGTAGAGTCCAGCAGCATTTTGAATATAAATGATAAATACCAAGTGAAAATAAACCAAATGAAATATCCATAGGAGTTCTTTATTGGGAAGGTTTAAATATCTCAGTTGCTAAATTAAACAGATCGGGTAGGCTCCCTGGGATCTCTTTCAAGTCCATTTTGCTAGCAAGAGTTGCAAATGGAAAGGTTCCCTCACTCAGGGGCTGCCAAACCAATCCAGAAGCCTAGTGAGCCTGGAAGAGCAGCATGACCCTGGATCCATCCTGCTAAGGTGCTTTTATGGATGAGGATTATGCACAGATTCCAAGGTCAGAAGGGACCAGGACTTAATTTGTGCCAAGGCTTAGAACCTGGCACCTCTAGGCTTAGCAGTTCCTAGCTCCAGCACTTCCAGGCTCCTGGCCAATGACTGCAGCTCTCTGGGCACCCAGCTGTGTAGGCAGCACCACTGCCAGCAGCAGCGCAGAAGTAAGAGTGGAGTAAGAGCAATACATGCTACCCTTACGTCCGGGCTGCTGCTGGCTGTGGTGCTGCCTTCAGAGCTGAGTGCCCAGTCAGCGCCTGCCATTCTTTGGCTAACCCAAAGAAAAATCAGTCGGGGCCCACATGCAAGTGAGAAGCAAAAATAAAAGAAGAAAAAAAGTCTTAGATGTGGTCCCCAAATGGTAAGCAGGGGGAAAAAAAAGATGCTCACTCTTTGCACTTGTGATGCCAGGGATCCCCTTGCACTCCAGCCTCATGGGGGAAGGGGCTCCAATGTTCAAGGCTTCCTGCCAGGGCCAGATTAATTCTCCTGGGGGCATGGGGCTAATAGATGTTGTGAGCCCTCCTAGGCTCTAGTGTGGGGCCAAAAATGAGGTAGGTGTTCAGTGTGTTGGAGGGGCCTTCTGGGGAGTAGGCTGGGGATGGAGGTGGGGAGTCTAAGTGGAAGACTGGGTGCTGGAGCAGGATGGGGATGAAGGGTCTGGGCAGGAGGTAGGGTGCAGAAGTGAACTGAGGGTGGGAGTGCAGAGTCTGGGGGGGGGGGAAGTAAGGTGCTGGCATGGTCTGGGAGTGCAGGATGCAGGTTGGAGGGAGGGTGCAGGAGTGGAGTGGGGGTTCAGGTTTTCGGCAGGAGGTAGTATGTAGGAGTGGGGTGAGAGAAGTCTAGGCAGGAGGATGGGTGTAGGAGGGCTGGGGATGTGGGAGATGGGTAAGAGGGAGATCCAGGAGCGGGTTGATTTGTGGGGGAGGGCCTTAGCAAGAGGAGGATGCAGAAGAGGGCAGAGAGTTGGATGTGGGAGGGGCAGAGGATTTGCCCTGGCGTAGCTCCCAGGGACACAGTTGGCTCCATACTGCCCTATACTTGTCGGTTCAGCCCCCCCACCACTCAGAGCCACTTCCTTCCCCTGCCGTAGGTTCCCCATTCTTGATCTAGTCTGACCTCCCATGTAGTATAGGGCACAGAACTTTCTCAAAGTAATTCCTGGCGCATATCTTTAAAAAAAATCTAATCTTGATTTAAAAAAAAAATGTTAGTAATGGAGAATCCACCATGAGTCTAGGGGTTAAGTTGTTACCATGCTTAATTATTCTTCATGTGGGAAGTTTTAAGCCTCCTTTCCAGTCTGAATGTCTCTAATTTCAACTTTCAGCCAGTGTTACATCTGTCCCAGTGAAAGTCCCCCCACCACACCTTGTGACATTCAGCTCAGCTGTGAAAACACTTACATCCCAGTTCTGTAACATCTGGAACTGATGCCAATCCCCACTTTGAGCTGCATGTCTTTGACCTTTTGGGGTGAGCACACTCAGGGGCAAGGAATCCTTATGCTCAGAGAAGAGAATCATCATGACAAGAAGGGTTAAAAAAAAAGAGAGAGATGCAAATGGATTGGAGGAGGGCACAGAAAAGGTGAGGGTTACCATTCCGCTAGAACAGGGAGGGCCATCAGTTAATCAATCTGCATGACATAATGAATCTGAGGACTGAAATATATTTGTACACTGCAGCACTTCTGCACTGATGCTGCTGCCAGCTGATTTGTTTATACTAATTTCTCTCTGCATGTAATGGCTCTGGTCCTACCTCTTGGTTTTGTATCCCATTGCACAATGGGAAGGATAGGTCATGCAGGTGGGATTTCTCACTGCTTGTGTGCCAGACAACAGAGCTCTACAATGGCATTTGCCATGGCAGTAAGAGGGAGATGGGTAAACACAGATGATGGAACTAAGGCTGAGCTGAGACACTTCAACTAATCCATATTCTCTGGAAATGTACGGTTTGGTTGGAATCAAAATGCTACACAAAATGAGCCCTTTTTGCCAGATGCTTGTTTTGAAAGACTATGGGAAACACATAGTCAGTGTTAAAACATCCTGTCCCAACAGTTTGCAATGAAATGTTTCAGTTTTTCATTTGGAAATAACACACTTCATTTTTTCATGTGATATTGTATAAGGCAAAATAAAAAAGTCAAAATCAAAGTGAAATATTTAACTTTTATCTAAACAAAATGTTTTGACTGAGGCCCTCTTCTACTTTTCCTTCCCACCATAACACAGTTGTATTTTCCTTTGAGGAGAATGTTAGAATATTGGGCTTTTGTTCCTGGATGATAACTCCAGCAATGGCTATCAGCCAGGTTGGGTAGGAATGGTGTCCCTAGCCTCTGCTTGTCAGGAAATGAGAGACAGGGATGGGATCATTTGATGATTACGTGTTCTGTTCATTCCCTCCGGGGGCACCTGGCATTGACCACTGTCAGGAGACAGGATACTGGGCTAAATGGACCTTTGGTATGGCTGTTCTTATGTTCCATTTCAGAGCAAAGCCAACTTTCAATATCCTTTGTGAACAGAACTCCTGTGAAGAGGTGGTTTATCATTTTGCTTTGTGAGTTCATTTGAGAGCTCCATGATTCTCTGATTTCACCCACATAGTTGCTGCTGGAGCATTTAATGCACTGAATAAGGTAGTGATCACTATGTGTAGGACCAATTGATCTTAAACAGGTGTATTATGAGAGGTGTTGATCACTGGAACAATGGAAATATATCTGCAGGTTTTGCATCTGTTGTTCAGGCAAAGTCTGATGCTGAGTTGAGTTGGTATATCCTTCCCTGAGTGGAGCTTGCTTTTGATGGCTAGAAGTGGGGGTTCAGGAAAGATTTCTTTCAAGGAAGAGTCCTGTCAAATATGAACTATGTTGTTCAATACTCTGTGTGAGTTCCAGTCTGGGGTTGTAGGTGACAACTAGGATTGTGCAGTTGAAAGGAGTTTTATTCATTGAAGCAGATTCTTTTGGCTATTTTGCTGTTCCATTCCATGATGTAATCATCTTAACCAGAGGAGTTTCCTTGTCTGGTGAAGGTATTTTTGAGTGCTTTAAGGTATACATCCCAGACTTTCTTCTCCCAGGAATGATCTGGAGCCATGCAGCCAAAGCAAGCAGGGAGCCTGCGTTAGTTGGCAGCCCTGCTCTACCACCAGAGACTATGATCAGCTGAGAGAGTTCCCAGGATTGACCAACTGATCATGATCAACCAGCTGGTGACCACTGATGTATAGGGAAATTACATCCACAGTGGCATGGGTGATGTTCTGAGCAAGATTGCTAATACTGCAAAGTTTGTGGAAGAAGTTGGTGTATCCTGGAGAAAGCTGGCCCTTTGTATCGTAAGTAGTTTGAGGATGGTTTCTATGAGTCCCAATATTTCTTCAGTAAGAGTATCATGACCAGATGTGACGGGTCTGTCTATGTTCCCTTGTTATGTATCTTGGGAAGCACATAGAAGATCATTGAGGTGAGTTTGTAGAGTTTCTCTTGGAGTTGTTTGAGGAAGGATTTAATGATATCCTTAAATTACTGAATACATTTTGGTGTGGGTTCTTCTTTGAATTATTTAAAATAAGTGTTATCTGAGGTTTGGCCTGTCTGGTGTAGTCATCATGAGTGAAGAGGAGTTTACAGGCCAATTCACCTTGAATGGTCCCTTGAAGTATGTGGTAACTACTTATACTAAGGCATCAGTGCCACCTTGTAAATAGCTGTGACAGTCAGTTTCCCAAACCTAAAAAAGAGCTCTGTGTGCTCAAAAGCTTGTCTAATTCACCAACAGCAATTGGTCAAATATAATATATTTCCTCACCCATCTTTACTCTCCTGGGAATGACATGGCTGCACGTGCACTGCAGTTAGCAAACATGCATGCACTTAGTACTGCTGACTTCAATGGCATAGGATTGGCCCTGCATAGCCCTGTAGGAATGGTTCTTCCAAAACATTATTGGGATGGGCTGTATATGCTACTATTTCCTGATTCACAAAGCATACATTCTCCAGCTAAACCAAGAATGCAACATTTCCACTGTTGTGATTCTACTACTCCTGGATTAACCAGACCAAATAAACAGAACAGCAAAATAGTAACTAAACTGTTTATTTCTTTTGCTGGAGATTTACACAAGAGTGAGGGACACATTGTTATAGCACCTAGCTTTTTCTTAACAAAATATCTGGGGGCAGTGCAAATATGTTGGGGCTCATATAACCTTATGACCTAAAGATCTCTCTTCTGTCGCTCTGTCTTTTCTGCAAGTAGCTAATTTTTAAATTCAGAAAAAGAAACTGAAAACTTACCCAAACTTCTCCCCAAAATAATGACCAATTTCTAGAAGCCCTTCAGCGGAGAGCTATTTCTGTGCGAAGGGAGCATTGCTGCCAACTGAACTCCAGTGGAACAGTTCTAGGAAACAATTATAGATTAATAGCATATTTTGGTTGAATGGGAGGAGTGCGGTTAGTCAAACCTTTTGTGGATTGATCCAAATCTAACATGACAAGCCCACAGCACTGTTGTTAAGAGCCGGCATCTAGAAAATTAGAGGGAAATTAAGCACAGTGATTTTTTACTGGCTAACCTCTCCTGGATATATGCATTGTATTATACCTTTCGGAGTGTGTCATTACTTCGGCAAGGTCCAATTGTTACAGCAGAGACATAGCCAATCATACTGCCACTGCACCTTCTGACATAAAATAGGAGTTTTCATAGTACAACTTCCCTACAACAATACAGGTATCTCAATATGCCTATCAAGGTAACACAGTCTGTAATGATAGTTTTGTGGATTTCTGGGCAGGCAGTGTGATAGTAGAAGTTCTAGACAGCATTAGGCATTAGAATTTTTCTCTAACTTAGTTAAAGGGTATTACTCACAATCCTGGCATTGTACCCCTCTGCAAAAAGAGGATAGCTCACTTTGACATCTTATATGAAGGCCATGTCCACTTCTGACTCCAACCATGCCAACAGCAGCTCAGATGAATAGAAGTCCCAGTAGAGATTTGAAGTTATAATATCTAGCTCTTACAATGGTCGCAGCCAAACATCTCAAAATGATTGGCAAAGGAAAATAAGTATAATTGACCAAGCTGGCAAGGCTCCATGCTCAACTTGATGGCATTTGTCTGCTTGTCTGCATGTAATACAACAAAGTTTGAATCTTACATTCAATCAATTCCAAAATTTCAAGGAATATTCTAACCATCAGTGGCCAGAACCCTATTGATGTTGTGGCAAACTGGGAAAGCAGAAGGGGGAAAATAGAGCTCATGGCATATGTTTTGCAGAACCATGTCTTCAGGAACCCCTGTAATTGTCTGTAGATTAGAGAACTGGCTGATGGTGCCTAGTAATATTTTCTAGTATGACAATAGCCTATCTTATTGCTTCTTGTCCTCCCAATAGAGTTTCATGTTGATACCTTGAATGGTTCTTCTTGTAGACAGAAATAAGAGCAATAATAATGGGAAGGAGAGGGCACACAAAGATCCTGACATGGGGGCCCACAGACTCATTGATGCTGGGAGATTGGGGGCCCTTGGTATAAGGAAAAGGGGGACACAGAGCTACTAGTATGATGGAAATGGGGGCACACAGAATGTTTGGCCTGGGACAATGGGAGATATGGCAAAAGGGAGAAGGGGTTATACAGAGTCCCTGATGTGGGGGAAAAGGAGGGATTCTAGTCTGAGGGGAAGAGATGATAAGGGACTTACAGAACCCCTGACATGGGGTTTGTGGGGAAAGAGGGATGTGGGGAGAGAATGTTGTACCTGGGGCTACGTCTAGACTACACCTCTCTGTTGACAGAGAGATGTAGATTAGGCACGTCAAAATTGCTAACGAAGCAGGGATTTAAATATCCCATGCTTCTTTAACATAAACATGGCCACTGCTTTTTTTCGAAACGGAGCTACTGAAACTGTGAAGTGTTAACCCCTCTAGTTAATCCTGTTTTCATCCCAGAAAACAGAGCTGAAGCAATTTGTCCAAGCTCACACTGAAGGTAAATGGTAGAGCAAGGCATAGAACTCAGGGCACCTGGCTCACAATCCTACCAACTGAACCATGTTGCTTCAGTACAGCCTTAAGCAGAGTGCTACTAAGGAAAATGTGCTGACAGTCAGAGATCCATAGGAAAGTGAGTGGAAGAGGAGAGAAAACAGACTTTTCCTCAAAAAATAAGATTTACAGGATTTGTCAAAAAAGGGTTTATTTTTGACAGATCCGCGTCTAGACTGCCAGTTTTTTTTTCTTTTCGAAAAAACTCTGTTTTAAAAAAAAGCGGTGGCCATGTTTATGCTAATGAAGCACAGGATATTTAAATCCCTGCTTCATTAGCAATTTTGATGTACCTAATCTACATCACTCTGTCGACAGAGAGGTGTAGTCTAGACACACCCTGGGAATGTGAGAAACACAACTTAGCCTGAAAGGGAGGGTGTTTCAGGGAGTCTTTCCAGTCCAGGGAGGTGGAAGGGTGGCACAAAGGGAGTTTGTGGGAGGGGGTCTTTCATTGGTGCGAAGAGTTTGGCCTACTGAAACTGTGTGGCCCTCTAGTTAATCCTATTTACATCCAGAAAACAGAGCTGAAGCAATTTGTCCGAGCTCACATTGAAAATCAATGGCAGAGCAAGGCATAGAACCCAGGGCACCTGGCTCACAATCCTACCAACTGAACCGTGTTGCTTCAGTACAGCCTTAAGCAGAGTGCTACTAAGGAAAATGTGCTGACAGCCAGAGATCCATAGGAAAGTGAGTGGAAGAGAAGAGAAAACAGACTTTTCCTCATATAGGAAATGTTAATTATTTTGGTGCAAATAGTTATTCTGAATCAGGATAAAAAGCCCAAAAATATTTTGTAGAAGAAAATAATTCTGAGAACCAAAATTGATTTTTGTGTCTTGTTCCCAGCTGCCTGATTCCTTGAGCAGTTGCTCTGTGTTGCCAACTCTTCAGGAAACCAGAGAATGGAGTTGCAGCCCAAGAGAAGAGCTGCTTGGGGGGAGCCTTGCCTGGCAGAAAACCAGGAAGCCAGGCTTGTTAGCCAGCATACATACCTTCTTGATTTCCAGTCACAGGGTACTTGACTCATCACAGGGGCACCACCTTCTGGCATGTCTGGGAGACAGCTCTATCTCATCTGAGGTCTTTCTGGTTTTCTTCTTGTCTGCAACCCCTCTCACACCGCAGGAGTTGCAAGGCTTCGTCTCTGTAAATCAAGGCCTTCCCTCCTTGTGTTTTCTCCTTCCAGGAGAAAGTTTCATCAGCTTGCCTCTGAGGGTATTTTCCCCACTCTATGAAAGCTATGCCACTTCCCCCAGTACCTTTTATGGGAACCCAGGCCAACCCTCTACTCCAGGTTCCAGCTCAGGGACCTGTTATTAGTGGCCAAGGTTTGCTCCTTTCCAAACCTTAATCAAGGCCTTCCCTCCTTGTGTTTTCTCCTTCCAGGAGAAAGTTTCATCAGCTTGCCTCTGAGGGTATTTTCCCCACTCTATGAAAGCTATGCCACTTCCCCCAGTACCTTTTATGGGAACCCAGGCCAACCCTCTACTCCAGGTTCCAGCTCAGGGACCTGTTATTAGTGGCCAAGGTTTGCTCCTTTCCAAACCTT